TGCAGGTGTTCCCAGCTCCTCGGAAACGCAGGCTCAGACCCCGACAACCCTGCAAGAGGGGGCCTGATTCACCAAGGTCCGCGGGGTCTCTACGGGTTCCCAGGCCCTGGCACGGCAGCCAGCGATGCACCGTGGGAGGCTGGCCCTGGGCTTAGGGTTCTGCCTGCTGGCAGGCACAGGCCTCTGCTTCCTGTGGTGAGTCCACCCCATGGAGCTCTCCATCCCTACTCACCCCATGACTCCTTCCTGTCTTTGCATGTCAGCCACAAAACCTTGATCTCCTCGTGTCCTTTTCCGGTCCCACCTCTCCTTGCCCAATCCCAACTCCAGCCAGACCCATGTAGTTTCGGTTTCTGAATTTTGCCTTGTACTGGCCTCTTGGCTTTTGACTTGCTCTTTCCTCTGCATGGACCATTCTTCAACCTGTGTTGATGAGGAACTCCTGTTCATGCTCCCCAATCCACTCCCTGTGTCCTGTGAAGCTCCTGGGGCCGCCCCTCACCCTGCTGTTTGTGTGTGGAGCCTGGCATCAAGAATACACATACCCCAGGAATGAATGACTGCATGGGTAAATGAGTGACTGCATTCAAGGTCTGTGATGCATGCAGGGAATACCAGACTTTGTCCTCCAAGGTCAGCCACAGCATGACAGGAGACCCCCCAAATGCACTGTTGGGGGCCTTCACTCCCAATATTAGGTGCCAAGTGGGTTTTTAGCCTCTGGGGCAGAGTGGAGTCAACCGGTGTTTTTCCTTTCCAGGGTGCATGTTGAGAACTGGTTGCCAGTCTCCTATGTCCCCTATTACCTCCCCTGCCCGGAGATCTTGTAAGTATGGGGCTAGATGAATTGGGGACCCTGTGGGCTGCTCACAGTTGGAGTTTTTAAGGTCACTTTGTGAGTTCCCGGGTCCTAAGCTCATGGCTCTGATAAATGAGACAGTGTTTAGGTAATTTATGGGCTGCCCCGAACGCGGAGTGAATTCCCATTTTAGTCTTGGAGCATCCTTGTAGACCCCTGAATGGTTTGACCTTGGACACATACAGCTCTGAGCCTCACTTGCTGCATCTGTAAAATGGGGTGGTAAAGGTGCCCCTCGCAGGCCACTGGGAACAGGGGAGTGCAGTGATGCCTGTCAGCAGCCTGATGTTGCCCTGGTACACAGTAGGTGCTCAGTAAACAGTGCTTTTAGGACTTGACATTTCTGCTCACTTTTGTGTTCTATGTGGATTCAAGGAACAAATTAACATGTGACCAAAGTCTTCTCCACATAACGAATCTGACATCTTGGCAGTAAAGAGTGAAGAAGTGGGGCTGGCAGGTTAGCTCAATAGGTTGGAGCGTGGTGCAGACCAAGGTCCAGGGTTCCATCTCTGTGCTGGGCAGCTGCCCGAAAAAGGTGAACAAATGGGTTAGGACAGTCTCAAAGGGGCATCCGGCTCGCTGGTCCTTTGTTTTTCATGACAGCTAAAGGAAAGTTCAACAAACACCTGGACCATGACTACTAATTGACGACGAGGCACGTCTTATAATAAACATAATCCAGTAAATGAGGAAGCTAGAAAACAGAAAAGACGACAGAAAAAGAAAACTTTTCGGGTGCCACTTNAGGGCCCGGGAGAGCCGAGCCCCTGGTTTCCGAGCCGGGTGCGCCCCTCCGTCCATCCGAGCTCCGGTCCGGCCGCAAGGAGTGAGTCTGCACCCCGCAGGAAGAGTCGCGCTCCCCGCCCCACCCTGTCCCCGCACTGCACCGCACGGCGGCGGACGAGGAACGCCCCGAGCCCGGATCCCGCGCGGGTGGGTGAGAGTCTAGCTGTGTCTGGGCCCCGGGCTCCCGGGTCCGGACCCCAGGCTGGAGCGGGTGGGGCTCGGGCCTGGGCCCTGCGTCGGCGCGAGCGACCCCGGCGGCCTGAGTCCCGCGGGAGGCTGGGTTAACTGGGCCGGAGGTCCGGGCCGCGCTCCAAGGCCTGGGTGGGGAGACGGAGGCCCCAGAAAGAGGGAAAGGAAGCGGGCTTGCCAGCGACTCCCGAGTGAGCGTGGTCCTGAGCCCCGGGACCCCAGCCCTGGGGTCTTCCTGTGACTCTGGGCGGACCTCTGCAGGGCAGCCGGGGATCTCGCACTCACTGTGGCCCGGGCTGTGCCAAGCGCTTTACAGCCATTCCCGCACGTCATCCTCGGGGACGTGCGTGCTGTTCCCCGACCCATCCCCCTTTAGCCGAAGGGCGAGGGGATGACTTGCAAGGTCACCTGAGCCAGGGAGAGCCGACGCGCGTTGCCGCCATCCCCTGGACAGCCCAGGCCCCGCCACCCTCCACCAAGGGAATCCCGGCCGCCCCTCCCTGCGCAGCCCCCGGGAACTGGGTGTGTCCCCTCCCCCGTGCCTCAGGGCTAGATTGTCGTTGTCCTAGCTGCTGCCCAGGGGAATCCTCTAAGCCCGCCCCAGGGCTCCGCGCTGGTGCCGCGGTCCCTGCCCTTCGGCGGCCCGGCCTCTGCTCACCTCCGCTGATGGAACGGGCCTCAGCGAAAATGACCCCACCACTTCTCCTAAGGGACAGGTGGAGGCTCCAACTGAGCCCTGAGCCGCTGCCAGAGCTGAGCGTGGGGTCCGGCTGGACTAGGAGCGACGGGGAGTGCACGTTCCCCCGGTGGGCGGCCCAGGGGAGGGGAGGGCTGCGGGGCGGGGCCACTGACCTGGGAAAACGAGCATCCTTTGCAGGTGTTCCCAGCTCCTCGGAAACGCAGGCTCAGACCCCGACAACCCTGCAAGAGGGGACCTGATTCACCAAGGTCCGCGGGGTCTCTACAGGTGCCCAGGCCCTGGCACAGCAGCCAGCGATGCACCGTGGGAGGCTGGCCCTGGGTTTAGGGTTCTGCCTGCTGGCAGGCACAGGCCTCTGCTTCCTGTGGTGAGTCCACCCCATGGAGCTCTCCATCCCTACTCACCCCATGACTCCTCCCTGTCTTTGCATGTCAGCCACAAAACCTTGATCCCCTCGTGTCATTTTCCGGTCCCACCAACCTCTCCTTGCCCAATCCCAACTCCAGCCAGACCCACGTAGTTTCAGTTTCTGAATTTTGCCTTGTACTGGCCTCTTGGCCTTTGACTTGCTCTTTCCTCTGCCTGGACCATTCTTCAACCTGTGTTGATGAGGAACTCCTGTTTATGCTCCCCAATCCACTCCCTGTGTCCTGTGAAGCTCCTGGGGCCACCCCTCACCCTGCTGTTTGTGTGTGGAGCCTGGCATCAAGAATACACATACCCCAGGAATGAATGACTGCATGGGAAAATGAGTGACTGCATTCAAGGTCTGTGATGCATGCAGGGACTACCAGACTTTGTCCTCCAAGGTCAGCCACAGCATGACAGGAGACCCCCCAAATGCACTGTTGGGGGCCTTCACTCCCTGTATTGGGTGCCAAGTGGGTTTTTAGCCTCTGGGGCAGAGTGGAGTCAACCGGTGTTTTTCCTTTCCAGGGTGCATGTTGAGAACTGGTTGCCAGTCTCCTATGTCCCCTATTACCTCCCCTGCCCAGAGATCTTGTAAGTATGGGGCTAGATGAATTGGGGATCCTGTGGGCTGCTCACAGTTGGAGTTTTTAAGGTCACTTTATGAGTTCCCGGGTCCTAAGCTCATGGCTCTGATAAATGAGACAGTGTTTAGGTAATTTATGGGCTGCCACAAACGCGGAGTGAGTTCCCATTTCAGTCTTCAAGCATCCTTGTAGCCCCCTGAATGGTTTGACCTTGGACACATACAGCTCTGAGCCTCACTTGCTGCATCTGTAAAATGGGGTGGTAAAGGTGCCCCTCGCAGGCCACTGGGAACAGGGAGTGCGAGGATGCCTGTCAGCAGCCTGATGTTGCCCTGGTGCACAGTAGGTGCTCAGCAAACAGTGCTTTTAGGACTTGACCTTTCTGCTCACTTTTGTGTTGTATGTGGATTCAAGGAACAAATTAACATGTGACCAAAGTCTTCTCCACATAACAAATCTGACATCTTGGCAGTAAAGAGTGAAGAAGTGGGGCTGGCAGGTTAGCTCAGTAGGTTGGAGCATGGTGCAGACCAAGGTCCAGGGTTCCATCTCTGTGCTGGGCAGCTGCCCGAAAAAGGTGAACAAATGGGTTAGGACAGTCTCAAAGGGGCATCCGGCTCGCTGGTCCTTTGTTTTCCATGACAGCTAAAGGAAAGTTCAACAAACACCTGGACCATGACTACTAATTGACAACGAGGCACGTCTTATAATAAACATAGTCCAGCAAATGAGGAAGCTAGAAAACAGAAAAGACGACAGAAAAAGAAAACTTTTCGGGTGCCACTTGTCTGAGTTCTACTCTGATTTCTAAGTTCACTGTTGGCCGCTGGCTTGCTTGTTTACTGCGCTTTATTTTTTTATCTTTTATTAATTAATTAATTAGCTGTGCTTTCTAATTGAACAGCTTATACATTTTCATGTTTCTAGAAGCAAAAAGGCTGCTTGCTATTTAAAACAGTTGTGATCATACTGTCTTTGCACTTTTTTTCCTGTTTTCCCAGAGTGGACTTTCCTCTTCAGTGTGTGTCCCTCCCCTTCACGGTCACCATCGTTTTATTCCCCCCAGGGGCTGGGTCACAAATCATGAGCCCCTTCCCCTCCCACTAACAACGGCTCGGCATGTGGGTTGTTCCCAATCTCCCAGGGTTCTAAAGACTGGGATGAGCAGCTGTGGGCATAACCCTTTTTCCATCTTAAAGGTCATCTCATCCAGGTATGTTCCCTTCCTGGGCCAGAGGATGTGGACAGGTTGTTGATCCGTCTCATCGGCTTGACTTCTGTAGGGGCCACAGTGCGTCAAACACTCACACTCAGCACGTACCCCTGCCTGAGCAGTGACCCACGAGACCACCCCCATGTCGCACCTGGGCTAGTGCTGGGAATAGTGGCTGTCACGAAGACAAGAATGAACCCACCTTGCTGATGGGAGAGATGGCTGTCTCTCTGGTTTAAATTTCATCTCTGATTATGAGTGCGGCCCTCACTTCTCCACGTCTCCCTGTTAATTGAATTTCCTCTGCTGGGACACACTTACTTTGCCCCCTTCTCTCTTGGGTCTGCTTGTGGGTTCTCTGTCACCACCCTTGGCTGAGCAGATCTGCTACATTTTTTTTTTCTTTTCAGTTTGTCTGTTGTTTGGTCCTACTGAATTATTATTTTTTTAATAGATTGAAATTGGAAATTTTTGTTTATCTTAGATGATCAAACCTTCCCCTCTTCCTGGGGATTTTTTTCTTTTACTTTTAGGTTTTTTTTTTGTTTTTTTTTTTTTGGTTTTCTTTTTTTAAAGATGACCGGTAAGGGGATCTTAACCCTTGCCCTGGTGTTTTCCGCACCACGCTCACCCGGTGAGCTAACCGGCCATCCCTATATGGGATCAGAACCCGTGGCCTTGGTGTTATCAGCACCACACTCTCCCAAGTGAGCCACGGGCCAGCCCCAGAATCCCAGAGGTTTCTGAGCAGGGACTTGAAATATGTTTGTTTTTAAGAATCTAGGGCAGATGGCCAGTTTGATGAGTGACTTAAAAATTGTCTATTCAAGAGCAGAGACTAATTGCAAAAGGACAAATACTGTATGATGCCACTTAGTGAGGTGCCTGCAGACCTACAATAGTCAAACTCATGGAGGGAGAGTAGACGAGTGGTCACTGTGGTCGGGGGACAGGCAGTGGGGAGCGACTGTTGAACGCAAACTAAGTTTCAGTTTGGGGTGATGAAAAAGTTCTGCACATGGAGATGGTGGTGGTTGCACAGCAGCAGTGCAGATGTACTTAATCCATTGAACTGTACACTAAAAAACGGTTAGAGTGGTAAATCTTATGTTCTATATATTTCACCGCAAAAAGAGACATAGACTGAAGAAGGTGGGAGAACTCCTGGAGCTTTAAGCCACCCTGTCGTATATGATACATGGAAAACTCACAAGTGACTGGCAGGCAACCCTATCATCAGGCGGCCTGATCCTTAGGAGTTGCTGCCTCGGGACAGTTAGGCTCAGGCCTCTTCTGGAGCTGGCTCTGCTGCTGGGTGGCCTCAGGCAGGCCTGTCTCTTCTCTGGGCCTCACTTGTACCCCTGGAGAAATACTCCATGTGCATGGTTATATGGCCTTACCGAGCGCCTGCCCATGCTGGGCACGAGCTGCGAGCCCCTACTCCCATACTACGTGCACTTCTCATGGCAACTTGAGGGTTAAGGATGGTTGGCCCTTTACAGATGAGGAAAAGTGGGTGTATGGGTCAGGGTTCCACTGGAGAAACAGAACCAGTAAGAGCTAGGTAGGTAGGCAGACGGACAGACAGACACGTATTGCAAGGAGCTGGCTTATGTGATCGTTGGCTGGTTAGGCAGGTCTGAAATGGGAACAGCAGGCTGGAGCTCTCGGGCGGGAGCTGATGCTGCAGTCCACAGGGGAGATTTCCTCTTCCTCATGGAAACCTCAGTTCTGTTCTTAAAGCCTTTCAATGAACAGGATCAGGCCCGCTCAGGTAGTCCAGCTCCTTTACATAAAACCCACTGACATACAGAGCACTTGCACAGCAGTGCCTTGATCGCGCTTGAGACACTGGGTACTGCCACTGAGCCAAGCGGACATACCCAGCTGACTGTCACAGTGGGCCCCGCTCAGTCAACTCACCCAGGGTCCCAGGTCCCCAGGCCTTTGCAGCTGCTCCCACCTTCTACCCAGTGCCGAGATCCTACAGAGCAACGTGGCTGAAAACACATCAGCTTTGGAACCAGGCGGGTTCCGATCACCACCCTTCCACTTCTCTCTCAGTGACCCTGGAACCCTCAGTCCCTCCTCTGTAAAGTGGGCAGAGCAGTGGGGAGGTCAGAGGGAGACTGTGTGGCACCTCGGGGTGTTCGACTCTCATTCGTCCTGTGCTGATGTCCGCCCGCAGCCCTGGCACTAACAGCTTGCTCTTATCTCTGCCTCCAGCAACATGAAGCTGCACTACAGGAAGGAGGAGCCGCTGCCGCCCGTGACACAGTAAGGACACTGTCGTTTCCCCTTTTGTGGCCCTGTGGGGGGGCCACTTCCCCTCACCACTGGGCCTTCTTGGTTGCAGAGCACAGTACCCTCAACCGAAGCTGCTGGAGCAGAGGTAGGTGTCATGAGAGGCCTGGTTGGGGGCGGGGTAGGGGTGGTGGAGAGGTCAGTGTCACAGCGGCCTTGGGGCCCAGGCAGTCTGGGACCGTGGAGAGATAGGCTGGGAGTCAGGGACCTGGGCTCCAGTCCCAGCTCTGTCACTAGCTGTGTGACCTTGGGCAGGTTACCCAACTGCTCTGAGCTTTTTCTGTACAGGCGGCTACTGCCAGGTTGGAGGACCAGATAAGGTGGTATCCGTGACACGTGCACTGTGCTTACCACATTGTAGACGCTCCACGTGCACTTTGCTTACCACATCGTAGACGCTCCACGTGCACTGTGCTTACCACATCGTAGACGCTCCACGTGCACTGTGCTTACCACATCGTAGACGCTCCACGTGCACTGTGCTTACCACATCGTAGACGCTCCACGTGCACTGTGCTTACCACATCGTAGACGCTCCACGTGCACTGTGCTTACCACATCGTAGACGCTCCACGTGCACTGTGCTTACCACATCGTAGACGCTCCACGTGCACTGTGCTTACCACATCGTAGACGCTCCACGTGCACTGTGCTTACCACATCGTGGACACTCCACGTGCACTTTGCTTACCACATTGTAGATGCTCCACGTGCACTTTGCTTACCACATCGTAGATGCTCCACGTGCACTGTGCTTACCACATCGTAGACGCTCCACGTGCACTTTGCTTACCACATCGTAGACGCTCCACGTGCACTGTGCTTACCACATCGTAGACGCTCCAGTCCATTGCTGACAATGGTACTGCATCACCTTGGGTGACAGCCCCCGTGTGTTAGGCACTCAGCACGCACGGGAACGTGAGGCTCCTTCTAGACACTTGGTGTGCACTACCTCCAGGACCCCTCGACCCCACTGGGAGGTAACTATTGTTATCTCCACTTTCCACACGAAGAAACAGGTCCAGAGCCAGGGTGGGAGTTGCTCTGGGTCCCACAGTGTGAGAGGCAGGGTCAGAACGGGACCCAGGCCTTCGTAAGAGGAGGGTCTCCGTAACCACCGCCTCCCTGCTGCTAGGCCCACAGAGCTGCTGGCACTCACGCCCTGGTTGGCGCCCATCGTCTCTGAGGGAACCTTCAACCCGGAGCTTCTGCAGCACATCTACCAGCCGCTGAACCTGACCATTGGGGTCACGGTGTTTGCTGTGGGGAAGTGAGTAGCAGGCTGGGCGGGGGCAAGGGGGTTCTCCATGAGCCACAGGAGCTTACAGTCTAGGGGTCAGACAGGACCTGCACACAGGATGCCGGCTGGGCAGCGGGGAGGCTGAGCCAGGTGCTGAGCAGAGGGAAGGTACAGAGTGTGATGGGGGGTGGCGGCAGCTTCCTGGAGGAAGGGGTCTGGCCCTGGCATGGACGGGGAGGTGGAGGCAGCCCAGGTCAGGGAGCAGGAGCCTCTGTCAGGAGGCGCCCGTGCCCCACCCCCACTTTTCCTGGACTCTTTGCTCTACTCTCCTGTCTCTTGCCTGACCCCACCTGGCCTTTCCCTCAGGACCTACCACCTGGCAACTTCCCTCTGGGGCTCTTCCCGAGACTCCTGAGAGAGGGACCCTGAGGGGGCCCCAAGGCCTAGCGCACTGGCCAGATGATGAATGGGCAAGCTTCTAGGCGGCCTCTAAAGATCAGCGAGAGTGAGAATCCCGTAGATCACTGCCCAGCACTTAGTAAGTGCTCGATAAAAGTGAGCTGGGTTCATGAATACTGTGTAAGAATCAGCATTCAGGATCATTCTTCCAACCTTCTTAAGAGGTTGGTACTAGGACTGTGGGTTTGACAGACAAGTGCCCCAGGTTCAGACCTGCGTGACTCTCGAGGTGGGAAGTATATCCAGCCTGGCTCAACCAGACCCCGTGCCCCGCGTGGTGCCAGCCCATGGTGGAGAACCAGGCAGGGCACTGCTGGGGCAGCGGTGGGTGACAGGGCTACCCTCACCAGGTACACCCTCTTCGTCCAGCACTTCCTGGAGTCGGCCGAGGAGTTCTTCATGCGTGGTTACCGGGTGCACTACTACGTCTTCACCCACGACCCTGCGGCCATTCCCAGGGTCCCACTGGGCCCCGGCCGGCTCCTCAGCGTCATCCCCATCCAGGGTCACTCCCACTGGGAGGAGATCTCCATGCGCCGGATGGAGACCATCAGCCGGCACATAGCCAGGAGGGCCCACCGGGAGGTGGACTACCTCTTCTGCCTTGATGTGGACATGGTGTTCCGGAACCCATGGGGGCCTGAGACCTTGGGGGACCTGGTGGCTGCCATTCACCCAGGCTACTTCACTGTAACCCGCCAGCAGTTCCCCTATGAGCGCAGGCGTGCGTCCACTGCCTTTGTGGAAGACAGCGAGGGGGACTTCTATTATGGTGGGGCGGTCTTCGGGGGGCGGGTGACCAGGGTGTATGAGTTTACCAGGGGCTGCCACATGGCCATCCTGGCGGACAAGGCCAATGGCATCATGGCAGCCTGGCAGGAGGAGAGCCACCTGAACCGCCGCTTCATCTCGCACAAGCCATCCAAGGTGCTGTCCCCCGAGTACATCTGGGACGACAGGAAGCCCCAGCCGCCCTGCCTGAAGCTGATCCGCTTTTCTACACTGGACAAGGATACCAGCTGGCTGAGGAGCTGACAGCGGAGCCATGCCGCCATGACCGTGGACCCAAAGCCCTGCACCTACCTGCACCAGGGTTTCCCTCCTCCAAGCCTTACGTGCAGACCAGCCCTGTCCTGCCTACCTCTCAGTCTAGAGAATCCAATCAGAAAATGGATGTGGAAAGGCCATTGTAAACTGTGAAGGGCTGTGCACACATGAGGGTCACACAGTGGCATGTGGCACAAGAATGGGAGGACAGGAGGACAGGAGACCAGTGGTTAGAAGGCAGGACCCAGCTGGCCTTGCCTCACCCAGCAGACATGCCTTCAGCAGGCAGGCCCTGGAGTCTCTGCCCAACTCAAAGTGCCTGAAATCCCGCTGCTGTCCCCTCTTTGTTGCATAGTGCCCTTAAAGTTGCACTTCTAACACCCTAGTGTGAAAGATGCCCGGACCCTTTCTCTCTGGCTGTGGGGGTTCCAGGAACTGTGATATGCCCCAGCACATGTAGCCAAATTTCTCACTCAGGACCCCACGGCCAGCAGCCAGCCTTTGAGATGGACCAGGGCTAGGCTCCCTTTGGCCTCCTGCACCCCAAGGTGAGCCACACTCTTAGGGACTAGCTGCCTCCTTCCTAAGAGGTTAGTTCCAGTTTCCCACAATACAACTTCTGTGACAACACTTTATGAGCACCTTCACTTCCCTGTGTCCCTTCCCTCCTCTGCTGGGCCAGCCTTTGAGATGGGCCAGGGCTAGGCTCCCTTTGGCTTCCTGCACCCCATGGTGGGCCACACTCGTAGGGACTAGCTGCCTCCTTTCTAAGAGGATTTGGGAAGTTTTAAATAAAGGTGGCATCTGCTAGGTCCTAACCAGGGTTTTTGCATCTGCACATCTGAGCATCTGTTCTATAGGCACTGGGGATACAGGCAGACTGGATTTCAAACACAGTCAACTTGGGGGAAGGAGTGGCTAAAGCTGGCTGCTGCAACAGACAAGATTTCATTCCAATTCTCTGGACAGACTGGGTGAGGGGAGCATGCTGACAGATTGGCCACGTTTTCACTGAGTGCAGGCAGCAGAGCCAGTCAGCTGGACAGCTCTGGGCCCGTAGGCCCTGAGAACTGAAGGGATGTGTCTGTCAGCCCTCCTGCCTCCAGGGTCACCTTAGCCCTGGCTGGTATGGGGCTCCAACAGCCTGTGAGGACAGCCTCCCCAGCCCAGGGGGACTTCAGAGGCCCATGTGGTTCTGTCTGCCTGGCCAGACAGAGATAGGGTGAGGCACGGGGTCAGGCATGGTGCCCACTCCCATAAGGACAGCAACATCTTTTCCATGGAAGAAGGAGACAGAGGGTAAGTTGGGGTATACTCTGTGATCACAGCAGAATGAACAGGTACCCACCGACCTGGCCACCCCTGCCAGCCCGGGGACCAGCCCTGAGCCCACTCTTCCTGCAACCTGTTGTTTGGCTGGCAGGCAGGGACAGATCCCAAGAGGACAAATATCCAGCCTGGGATGGAGAGGATCAGAGTCAGGGAGAGGCCCTGGGTGCTTCCTGGGCAAAGGGGCAAGAACGGGCCCATGGTCTGTGTGTCCCCAGCAGGGAGCACCAGGGCTGTGTTGAAGGAGCAGGCCCTGCCTTCCAGGAGCTTCCAGTTTAGAGCAGAAAGAGGCTTCTGGATGTGGAGACCAGCAAAGGCCTCAGGAGGTGTTGGCCCTGAGGCCTGGGTAGCATGCACCTTGCAAGGGAGAAAGTTGCTCCCAGCTATAGGCCCTCTTTGAGTGCCCGCCCTCTCCCAGACCCAGCTGGTGGGCCTTCCCAGCAGTGGTCTAAGCTTCTGGGACTATGGCTAACTCTAGTCCCTATCCCAAGGCATGGTCCTCAGACGAGCTGAGTGAGTGACAGAACCCAGCTCCTGGAACCTAACCACAGTCCAGGCTGCTTTCCAGAAAGAAGCAAGGGTCTGGGGCCAGAGCTGCTGCGCAGGTGGGAGGAAGTAAGGGGCCCTGACTCAGCAGAGGAAAGTGGGAGTGTCCAGGGACAGAGTCCCGGCAGGGAGCCGTCAGCCCCTGTCTGGCAGAACCGGATCTGAACTTTGTATAACTATAGGCATCAATCTTGCCAGGGTAGATCAAAGTTTTGTGGGCTCCGAAGCTTTTAAAATTGCAAGGGTACCTTTTACAAATAGATAAAATGACAAAAACAGTGTATGCGGTGCCCCCTGCAGAGGAGGCCCCCAAGCGTAAGCTTCTTGTCCCTTCATGGCCAGCAGCCTCTCTCCCCACCTATTGCAGTCGGGCATCCTTGCTCAGCCCGTAGGCCTGGCCCAGCACACCTATTCGCACTGCCCAAGGCCAGGCCTGCCCCTCCTACCACTAGGCCAATTCCTGGGGACTCACTCCTGACATCACCTCCTCTTGTAAGCCTGCCTTGATTTGTGCTCTGCTCCACAGTGGATGACTTACTGCTTCCCCATAATCCTCCTCATCCCTGTGCCATCATTTACAATGCTGTTAGGCCCCTTTCCACCCCATTCCCCAAGCAATAAGCTCCAAGAGGGCACCGACCAACCCCACCTAGGCACTGGCAGGCACTCCATGAATTGTTGTTAAATGACTGTGAATGCAAGGCAGCTGAAAGAACATGGGTTTAGGAGTCTGTCCTCGTCCCTGTGGGATGCTGGGCTGGTCATTCCACCACTCAGCCCCAGCAGGGAGGGTTAAATGAGATTATGGCTAGAAGATCTCTGGGCACCCACCCTTCTTGAGCAGCTACCTTGACAAGTGGCCAGCTTTGGGCCATCCAGATGGCATATCCAGCAGACAGTCACAGACCCCCACTGCACACAGGAGAACACCAAAGCAGGCCTCATCCCTGGCTAGTGCTCGGGGAACATGCTTGGGTGGGGTTGGGTAATGTGCCCATTAAGCTCACTCCAGCTCTAGGATGTGTGTCTCTGATAAGACCACCTGGATTGGGTCCCCTGCCCCTCAAACTTGCAGTGATCCCGGCTCCTTGGACGACACTCAGAGCCCCATGTAATCTGATCCACACACCCTCCCCAGGGCATCCCACACCCACCTCCAGCTTCCCTGGAGTCACCCAGGGACCTCCTCCAACCATTGTCCCCTCAGAGCCTCCTGCTCATAGTACCCCTCCCCAGAGCCCCAACCACAACACTCACCTTCAGGGCTGGGCTCAGAGGACACCTCCTCAGGGCTCCTGTGCATAGCACAGACTTTGGGGTCAGGTGACCTGGGTTCCAACCCACAGCTGGGCCACTTGACACGGGCCTGTGACCAGAAGCCCATGTGGTGACTATTCAGGGCCTCAGTTTCCTCAACCGAACATGGGCCTGCAACTCCCACCTGGTGAGGTTGTGCTGGGGAGTCAAGCTGGGAGCTGAAGGCTCCCAAAGTGCTGGACTCGTGTCGCCTGGCTGGGGAGGCCCCAGCACAGCACATGACCTGTGGTTATCAGTGTGGGGACAAGTGATGGTGATGAGCAGTGACTGAGCCCCACGATGCTGGGCTTGGTCACTGAGAGCTGTGTGGCCTGAATGCTGGGGCCACTGCTCATGTATAAAATAGGATGAGGTCACTGAGCACCCAGAGGGCTCCCTAATAATAGTGATGACCCCCAATATTTGCCCAGTCCCAGTCGTGGGGCCCTCTCCTTCCAGGCTCCCTCCACCGCCTCTTACACCAGCCAGGGATGCAAGGACAGGCCGGACCTTGTGTTCCTGGGTCCTGCCAGGGAAAAGGGCGGGGGGGGAAGAGGGGGAACATGACCTTCTCCCTGCCCAGACTCGGTGTCCTCTTGCCTAAGGTCCCCTGTCTCCAGCCACGCAACGAGCTCAATCGTCAGGTGGCACTGGGGTACCTGGGCGACAGGGAGAGGGTGTATACTTGGTGACTCTCGCGTCCCCAGGCTCTGCACGCCCGCGCGGCCCTGCGATCCCCGCCTGTCTGGGACGAGGTCCTAGCGGGGTGGGGAGCACAGAACAGGCGGCTGGGGCGGAGGAACACGTGAGACCGGCCGCCTGGGCAGCACTTTGTGCGTGGCGCGTGCGCGCAGCGAGGCGGGGTCACGTGCACGCGCCGTCCGCGGTCCCGCGCAGGCCCCGTGTGCGCGCCGGGCGTGGATAGCAGGCCCGGGGCTCTGTGC